ATTTGGAGCGTTAGATAAAACGTAAAAACAGACCGGGGAGTTTAGCTACACAGCCGTCCTCGGCGCCATCTTCCCACACCTACAGTATTCCTTGATCCAATTCAAAAGTTTCCAGACCTGGGACCATTTTCCAGCTTCACTGGACACTGTTCTCCTATTGATACAGCCTAGAATCACATTGACTTTTTTGGCTGTTGACTCATGTTCAGTTCGTAGTCTACTAAAACTCCAAAATCGCTTTCACATAGAATTGTTCTCAAGACAAGCGTCCCCACCTTATATCTGTGCATTTCATTTTTTTCTGCCAAAGAGGAGTTATTGGAGTTATGCCATTGAGTGGACCAATCATATCTGATGGAAACAGGTTTGATTTATTCGATCTGCTGCAAGACCTTCTCCAAAGTTTCTAGATCTCCTGAAGATGTAGGAAAGTGTGGCCAAGAAACAGCCTTGTGCTGAGTCTTTTGGGGGCCGTAGAAACCTTTATTTCTTTCAAGCCTTGAGAAAGGCATTATTGGGGTGGAGGAGGGTGCTTGGAACATGAAGCACAAGTTCAGGAGGATGGGGTTTGGAATATCGAATGTACCTTGGTTGCATGTGATCTGGCCACTGAATCTTGGGTTTGCATGCTCACTTCAGAAAGGAACTGATCAAGGTGCTGAAGGCCAGTCTCCAAGGAGGCTTGATCTCCTCTACCTCGCTTTCTTTTTCCTCCTTTGCTTTGGAACTTGAATGCAATTGGGACAAAACTGCCCATCCCTTTCTGTAAATAAAGAGCCTTAATGCGTAAGGCATATACGCATTAATGCGTAAGGCATATACGCTGTTTAACATCTACATGAAGCCGCTGGGCGAGATCATCCGGAGTTTCGGAGTGAGATGTCATCTGTACGCAGATGATGTCCAGCTCTGTCACTCCTTTCCACCTGCTACTAAGGAGGCTGTCGAGGTCCTGAACCGGTGCTTGGCCGCTGTGACGGTCTGGATGGGGGCGAACAAATTGAAATTGAATCCAGACAAGACAGAGGTACTCCTGGTCAGTCGTAAGACCGAACAGGGTATAGGATTACAGCCTGTGTTGGATGGGGTCGCACTCCCCCTGAAGACACAGGTTCGCAGTTTGGGTGTGATCCTGGACTCATCGCTGAGCCTGGAACCCCAGGTTTCGGCGGTGACCAGGGTAGCATTCGCACAATTAAAACT